TTATCCAATGTGTTTATTGATGTCTTTAAAATTCTATAGTATTATCAAAGAATCCTCTAAGGACCTAGCCGTTATCCAATGTGTTTATTGATGCTTTAAAATTCTATAGTGATTATCAAAGAATCCTCTAAGGACCTAGCCGTTATCCAATGTGTTTATTGATGCTTTAAAATTCTATAGTGATTATTAAAGAATCCTCTAAGGACCTAGCCGGCAAATAAAGGACTAATGGGGCATTATTATTTCTTTCATCTTTAAAATAGCAGTATCTATTTAAACAAACCATTCAAAATAAAATAATATAATGTCTGTAGGCTTACGACGCTAGAAACTGGGTTTCGACACCTGTGATGGGCAGAGCACAAATATACTGTTGTGTAGATTTGTACTTAATATTAACCAAAAAACCATAATTTTTGCCTTTTTTTAGCACAAAATATTTTGTCGTACTAATATGCATATTTAAGTTATATTTCTTCTTCTATTAAATAAAATAAATATATTATTCTCATTCTTAGATTAATTATTATTTGTGTATTTATTACCTTTGCGTGGGACATTGTTCATGTACGACAAGCATTCGGTTTTGCCATTTTTTTCTGTATTTTGTAAACTAAAGATAAAAAGGACTTGAAATGAATTGAAAAATCAGCGTTTTCTGTTAAATATCCAGTTTTATTATCAGAACATCTAAATTCCATACGGGACTCATTAAATCCTGCGTAGTGTTGCACGAGTGTCACTTCCGGCAAAGACTTTACATCGATTCCACCGCATCCTAGTCTTTTAAAAAACAAGGCGAGGACATTCGTATTATCAGTTTGTTTATAGTATATGCCGCACAAGAAGTTTTATAGGAAAATTAATTTATCATTATATTTAAACAAGCAGGAAATGTTAAGCAATTAATTATTAATCGGTTAGGAATTTTTGTTTAAAAAAGTCGTATTATATAATTTTCAAACAAATTTTTTTACTTGATACTCATAATCACAAAGTTTCGAGAAGTAAGGTAGGTTATTTGGTTTAGTACTTAGACTGTTGGAGTCCACTGATTAATACACCTATTGGGTTTACCTATCTAATTAGCAAATATTTCCATCACTGTGAAAAGTTAGTTGTTGTTTTGCTTGTTTCTTACATATTATTTTCGTAAAGTCACTTTGCTTTATTTTGGCAGTTGATTTTTCGCAAAGTTGCTGACGTTAAGAGAGAAAAAGAATTAGCAGAGAAACGGAAGAATGAACCTCCGCAAGACCTCTCTCAGGATCACTTGGTTCGAAAACTGTTCAACCGGTTTAAGAAAACCGGTCCTGAGAAAGCGGTCGGCGGCAACCAAGTTGGAGCATCTCTTGCAACTGATGTGGAAAAAGGAGAACGTTCCTCAGCTAGCGCTACTGACAACGGAAGCGAAAAGAATAAAAATGCCACAGTGAAAGTATTCAGTATTTCGGAAGTTGGAGAGAAAGCTGATAAACCAGAAAGGACTTCAAAATGGGGTTCTTTTAAAGCCACAAGTAGTGATCACGAAGGTAGGAATAACAAAGAAAACCAGATTGATTCTGAAAATCAATCGTTGACCAATCGGGGGGAAGCTGTTGCTAAAAAGAATGACTCTTTTCAAATAAGTAATGATGCAAAGCCGGGATCAGGGACAGGGAGTAAAGGTTTCGGAAAGTTGTCTAAGATTCTGAGTAGTCGTCAGGAAACAATTGAAGAGGCTAGTGAACCAAACTTACACCAATCTACTCCAAAACGAAAAGATGCAGAATCATCTAGTTGTGGAAATTCAAATACAAATGTCAGTAATGTAAAGATTAGTTATCAAAGAAATCTGCACGTTGAAGATCAAACATCTGTTAATAAAGAACGAAGTAGTGACAGTGGAACTTTTCCGAGTGATGTGTTCGATCCCCGTAGTATCTCTAATACAGACTATCAGCAGATTATAGCCAATCTTATGGACTTACGGGTGGACCTCAAACTTGAAATTCAAAAAATTAGCAATAAAATGACTCGAATAGACGAGCAAGTAACTGAACTATTAAAACAATTCGCCCATAACTCTGGGCTTTCCAGTAGCCCAATTCCTCTTTCAAAAGGTGAAAATACTTTTCATTTAGAACTGAAACCTTTGAAAGGATCTCAGAACTCTTCAGAGCATTCCAAGCATATTTGCTCTCACCATGGGTCTTTCAAAAGAAAAAGTGTTCATGGAAAGGCGAAGGCAAAGTCCCCTTCACCACGAGCCTGCTCTTCGGATTCGACAGTTCGGGCAATGCTAGAGACTGAGATAGATGAACAAGGAAAGGATGGCAGCCTTTCTCCGTTACCACATATTGAAAGGAGAGAGAAAAAGTAGATCATTTGTTGACGTTTCATTTTATTCCTATTGCTACCAGTATAAGTAATTTATCTTTTTATATAAAGATATCGTTTTAAAATAAATTCATTATTGAAGTTGCTACTAACACAGACGTGAACTGTCTACTGTTAAAAGTGTTTTATTTGCATTATTGCACTGATAAAGTAAACAGATGAATTTAGTTTTCATAATGACTTTATAGAACCATGCTATTGTTTCCACACATTGTGTCTTTCTTCAAGGAAAGCTGTTACAGAACTCTTAAAATCAGTATTGGAAGAATTTACTAGTAGATATTAACAACACCATTATCTTCATGCTCTTCCACATCTGCCTTGAATACGTTGTAAATACACCGGAAGTTAGTTGTAGAGATTTTAAATTATTATTGTGGAAAGTAGATTAAAATACGTCTTTCTTTTACTTTCTTATACAAATACAGCTATGGCAATACATTTCTTATACAATGCGGTGTATATTTATATACACACTGATGCATGTTAGCTTGTGAAGTTAATCAAACTCAGAAGGTTAAGATGCTTTCATTTCGCGTTTTTTTAGAGCATCCTTTATTCATACCATTCAAACTCATAAACAAGTTTCAGAAACTTACACCTTTACTTGTTAAGTTGTATTAGCAAAAAAAAAAAAAAGCCTTAGGAATTATGATTAAAAATGGCTGCTCAGTTCAGTAGAGTTGACATGTTTAAGTAATATTAGTTATTGCACTAGAAAGATATGGCTATAAAAGTTACAGAGTTCTAATTTCAAAATTTCAATCACTGACTTTAATAATCCCACACTATGTGTTCATCCTGTTTTTGTTCTTGTAACAACTCAAATATAGATACCACTATAGCGAACCTTTTCTGATTTCACAAAGTGAATCTTGCGACTTGGAGACAAAGAATGGACTTATTTGTCAGATCTCATAAAATGGACCTAAGAAGCAAATATGTTCTGACATTTTTCATATATACCAAACAGCCTAAGAGACTCAGTATAACTTGACAGTTTCCATCAGACAGATTAAAAGGCTGGGTATGTTTAGGTATTTCCTACTAATCAGGCTTAGCAACTTGTTTTACCTTGCAGTTCCTAGAAAGTGGGTGTATTTTTATAGTTCTTCCCACAGACATTATCAGGCTGTTTTATGTGTCGGCAGTTCCTACTAAGCAGCTTTATAAACGGGGTATGGCCTGGCAGTTCCTACTAAGCAGCTTTATAAGCGGGGTATGGGCCTGGCAGTTCCTACTAAGTCGATATATAGCAACTTATCTTATTTTTTAGTTTCCCATCAAACAAGTCGAACACAGTTTAATTTTTATTTTTAATGAATCTGTATTCTAACGTGCCGTCCAGTGACGTACTGATGACAATCTTATTGCTATAATATATGCCTTATCAACTCTTACTTTGTTTTCCTAAATACAGAAATGTTTTAAAGAAATGCACAGTTTCGAAAATCCTCTTCAGTGGCTTTGTTTGACCTGTTAGTATGAGTGCAGCTCTTATTGATTCAATGGTTTTATTATATTGCTACCTCTATGTCTGTAAACAAGAAAAATCGAAATAATTACTTTCCTGCGATACTGAAGACCGTACTTTAACCAACAGTCATGCCCTATCTACTTTTCCCTGCTTCTAAAGAATGTTCTTATAGTGATGTTTTTATGAGATCAGGTTTCTTTTTGTGGAACAGCCATGCGGCATTTTGTGGCAATGTCCTTTCCCGTGTGCAGCTTTCAATAAGGTCTTTGACTTTCAAACCCAAGCTTAAGCAGACCAAAGGCACAGATCTCCATTGGAGCTGCATCAGGAGACTTACTAGATATGTGGTCGAAGGGGTTTGTTGTGATTTCAGCTTCTTCGGCCACCTTTGACATTGAAGCAACTATTCATTTTGAGATATGGTTGGAATCTTGTGAATCATTTGCTTATGAACTTTTGTTAGCTTACTTGTTATCTAGGCTTAATCACAATTGCTTTATGGGTCAGAGGGTTTTTCTTGGTAGCCATGACCTTCACTTTTCAGATATAGACTTTGGTTCTGATTTATTTACAATGTGGTTTTGAATTCCGTTGCTTTTCTAAACTTTCTGTTGTGAGAATGGTTCCCCTTCAAGGAGAACACATGACTTCCTTCTTCTACATGTCATATCGTATGGTTTTACATCATGTAAAATTCTCGTTGTGTACTTATTCATCTTCGGAAATAGCATATATAATCTTCACCACCTATCAAGTTTTGGAGGCATTTTACAAGCCTGGTTAACGGTGTGCCTGTCATATGGGAAACAGAATTGTGAGCATTGTTGAACCATTCATATATTCGCAGAGAAATGATAGCTAATTTACCTTCGCTTTCATAATCTGTACAGACTCTATGTATTACTATTTTGGTTCTGTTGAACACAGAAGAACTTAGCTTTGTTAGAACTGACAGTTTTTATGTTCATATATTTGTGTATGAAATATATTTTGACTTTATGTCGATATCAATACTTTGCATGTTTCTTAGCAATGCAAATATAAGGCATGCTCATAACTGAGACAAAAAAGACTTCTTATTAAAAGTATGTGTATGAGAACACAAACCGAAACAAAATGTCATCAAGCCACATTTACTAAAACTAGTGACGAATAAAAATATTATGCTAAAATAACGAAGAAATATTACGAACTTCATAACAAGTTCAATACTAACATGCAAAGAAATATTTCTTATTTCAAAGTTCAAATAGAAAAATCACTCGATAATCCTTGTAGAATGTACATTTTGCACATGAATTACAATCTTTGGAAAAAGACTTAAACTAGAAGTAATATAGAAAAACAGTTAATCTATTTGAATTTGATATGTGGTATGATTAGCAATAGTTACGACTGATTAAGTTGTTTTTAATTAGAGATTCAAAGTATTTGATCATTAATATATTGTTTATTTGCTAACAATGATAAAATTAGTTTTTTTTTATAAGAACATATAGCATAATATTTCTTTTGATTCATTATTTAGATTTTTGTCGCTTGTTGAACACGATCATAGTTTATATTAAAAGGTACATCTACTTCCTGATTATAAGTTTAGTTTATAAAATCTCTTCATTAACAATTGCGAATAAAAACCGTAAATTTCAGTTTAAATAATGTAGCTAATTTGGATGAAAATTCATATTTCTTCGAATTTAGATTAATTTCTTGATCGACGTAACTGGTATCTAAATGGAAACCTAAATGATGTTATTACAATCCCAGTAAAAATGCTAATATAATATACATATTTACAAGACTTAATAAAGAATAAAACAAATTATTTAAATTTATACAAAAGCTCTCATGAACCTTCTCTATTTACTATAAAATAAGGAACTAATGCTAGAATTATCGTCAGATGTAGATGTCTAAAATGTAATAATTATAATAAACTGAGTAATTTAAAAGAAAGTGTAATATAAAAGTATCATTTAAATATAAGAAAATGATGCTAGAAACATGAAATTATACTCTACCTTTTCCAAAAGCTTGTTCAAAATCTAACTTGTATGTAATATTTTCTATTTATGAAGACATTACTTCAAAACCCAAAACCCATCTCAATAAACTGTGCAGTACAACTTCACGGTGAGATAATAAAAGTCAAGAACATTAGAAATGATCCGATTTCTCAGGACTTTATCGCTCTTTAGGAAAGTATCCAAACATGTTTTATAAGATATGTAGTTAATTTTCTTTTCACATTATTTCATTGAGTCTTCGAATGACAATTTGGGAAAATATGAACCACTTACAGCAGCTATGTATAAACTTTTCAGCCGTTAATTACAACAATAAGTTTTATTAATAGAGTTCTAAATATTTATGAAATAGATAATGTTTTCTAATTAATTTTGTTGACGGAAATAACGATATGAGATTGAACATATTATACATTTAAACGATAACATGTATGGTACATAATGAGAAGTACATCTGTGCAAGTACTGGAATTCGTTTTGACTTGGATAATGGTTAATTCTGAAATTTCTAAAATCTTTAAAGGTATTTGCTCAGTTATATTCTCCTGTACATACCTTTCATTTGTAATGCGATAAAACGATTTTTTCAATAGTATATTTTAAAAATTGTTTAATATGTTAGTTTTCTTTAACTTATTTTATTTCAGAGTGAATTTATAATGATTGGTGAAATATATTTTCATGCGGAAATACAAAAAGAGAAACGTACAGTATTTCGTTTTGTCTCGTGCTTTGTGGAACAATAGTATTATGTTCAAGACCTGACATCTGGCGACCAGTTTTGGAAACTCATATTACCAACTTTACTTCATATAATACTTTGAAATATTTCGAATCTTCATTTATTAATGATTTTTATTGAGGTTATTGTCTAATGGCATTAAATAATTGTGAGCTAAGTCAGAAAAATATTTAATTATTGTTGTCAAACAAAACAATATTCAAATTTGCTAATTGATGAAAAAGCAGATTTAATTGAATGAAGCTATCTAGTCTTGGTGATTTAATATTGATTTTATTTAAAGTTTTATTCATGACCTCCTAAAGAGAATAATAAATCTTAAGAATGATTTTGTGTTTCAATTTCTCAGGATTTGGTTAAAAAGTTGGCTCTCTTACTAGTTTGTTAATTGCAAGAAAATGTATATTTGTTACCATGCTACGTACTATTGGATGTTTTTGTTAGCGAGAATTTATTTCGACCAATTAAATCAGAAGGAATGGTCATTTTCTTGAAAGTTATCGTGAACTAGAGTTTCTTTATGAAATCTATGATATTCCTCGTTTGTGATGTAGTTTTTGGAGAGGACAAAACATTGTGGGGCAAGCTTTTTCTTAGTTTAAAATAGAATTATCATAATATTTGACTTTTAAAAGCCGGTAAAAAGTATTGCTTTTACATCTTAAGGTTGTGAAGAAACTGACCAGAAAATATAGTGAGCATTTAATGGTACACATAAAATGTTTACTGACTTGAAC